TTTTCTTCCTAAAGAGAGATGCATGTAAAGCAAGGGAACATGAAGTGAGGAGCCTGCTGATTGCACACAGTGTTGACTGAGAGCCATATGCTTGGAGGAGAGGCAGCAGGGCTGTCAGTTCTGGCAGGCCCTCAAGCAAAGTGCATGAGAGGCTAACTCCATGTCCCAAACTACCCTATCTTGGTTACAACAATCTTGCAGCCCAATGAAATGGAAGGCCCACTCACTAGTTTAGGTTGCCCATTGCTGCGCCAGCCTGCTATCCTTTAATTTCTAGCACCTTTTGGATCCTTTCACAAGGGAGCAGGCTAATTCAGAGAGAGCAGGGATTTAAGAGGCTGAAGTGACCAGAGGAGCTATCAAACAGGGGATTTTAGAGAAGGAATATGAGAGGCAGATACACCTAACAAATATACTCTGCACTTAGGCCAATAATTCACCAACCCACAAAAACTTCAAAAGTAAACATGATGCAGGAAGATGTACACTGTCCATTTCTTTGCATTGAAATCATATGTGATGGATGTGTACATGCAGTGCAAGCTGCTCTTGTTCCTCAGAGAGAATACAGAATCTTGAGGCCAGAGTGGATGAAGTGGAGAAACTAAGAAACAGCTCATACATGGAGATTTTCATGACATAGTAGAATGGTCCCACCCAAGTCTCACAGCCTGCGTGCTGTTAAGATAGATGAAAGTATCAGGTAAGGAAAGCAACAAACTGCACAAGAGGACAAAAATCCCATCTCTGGGACGTTCCTGCCAGTTGATAGCGTGGTATGCTCTCACACTGAGGATAATCCTCCTCAGGCAAGTTCTCCAATTATTAGAACGAGCCAGGTAAATAAATAGTTGGTTTTGTAATGACTGGGAGAACTAGCTGGTAAATTGCTTTCTAAGTGCAAAGATTGTCAATCTTATGAGACATCTAGAAAGATGTGCAGTGCTGAGGAATCGCTGGCAGTTTTGGTAGGTGTAGTTACCAGAGACATAAAGAAAGGTAGGAAGGGGGTCCTGGAGGCCCAATTTAGGCTGTGAGGTGAACGAATGAAGACCAAGACCTCTATGATTACAGACATTGAAATGCTGCAAGGAAGATACAGAACTGCAGGCTTCAATGTGTGAATGACATGATGATACAAGACGATACAGGGTTACCTTTATTAGGAACTGGACAGTGGAGGATCTTATATAAAAAGGATGGACTCCACCAAAATGGTACCAAACTGTTTCCAGGTAACAACAAAATAGGGACCATCAAGAGATTTTTTTTTTCTTTAAACTGAAAGGCTGGGTGAAAGCTGATAGGTGCCGTAGAGTACAAGCTTGAGGCAGGAAAATCACTTAGGGATGAATTTTTTTGAAGGGGGAACTCTATACCTTAGGAGAGAAGTTGGTAAAGTACATGTAGGAGCTAGTCAGAAGCAATCAAATGTAAGAGTCCCATTTAAATGTAATGGAGGAAGGCTAGGAACGCAATATTGATACAATGTACACATGCTTGTACTCAAATGCTGACAGTCTAAATGGTCAGGTGGGTGAATCAGAGTACCAGCATTAAAGGAGGATATTGATACAATATGCATCATAAAAACTTTGTGGAATAAAGAATAGGATAAACAGTAGGAACACTCTGGTACAGAATATATAGGAATGACAGAGAATGTCATGCTTTCACTAAGAAAGTATAGAGTTGAATCAAGTAAAAAACAAATCGAACTGTACCACAGAATCTCCATGGACAGAAATACCATGCTTGAACAATAAAAGTATAGAAATAACAACATAGTACCAATCGCTTGACCAGTACGCTAATGAAATGCTTAGTAGATTAGAGAGGCTACAAAGGCAGAAACACAGAAATAATGGGGGATTTCAACTATCCTCATATTAACAGGATACATGCAAGGGAGCTGGAACAATCTACATAATGGAGGTGCTTAGGAGCCATTGAATCAAACCGTAAACATATAAAGCCAGGGATGTAGCAGCAGCCCCATTTCCAACATCTATAGATATGTCATGTGAGAATAGAATGCAGAAATAAAACTTCTAGACATTACAAGATAAATGACTGCTTCTTGAAGCAATTAGTCCTGGAACCCATCCGAGGGAGAAGTAATTGTTAGTTAGTCCTAGGTGGAACACAGAAACTTGTCCAAAAGGTGTATATAGAGGAACCACTCAGTATAATAGC